TTTCATCGTTTTCGAGGCGAAGCTTACACAATAAAGACAGCTATAATACGCAATTTCATATAGCTGTCCTTCTTCTTCAAAACGTATACCAATAGTTAATTACCAAATAAGCAATCTTAGCTTTATTAATTGAAATAAATATAGTCACGGAGAGATTTATAACACTTGAAATGCCATGCTACAGGTACAACTGTACATACAATACACAATTATTGTGTAAAGTAGTCGGTTTCGAGTTTTTAGGTTTTTGGATATATATTTTTTCAAACAAACCATTGTATCAGCCTGTTTATAGGTTCCATGATCAGTCAGCCGGGACCTATAAACGGCTCCAAACGCTTGATAAAATAAATAAACGTGATTTAGATCAGAGAAAATAGTTTCACTTCCAAGAAGTCGGTATTTTCAAAGGGTCAACATTCCAGTCCAGAATAAAAGATCAAAGATATTTTTTTCTAGGCTGAATATAAAAAAACCTTTTTCTTTTTCATTCGTACATATTGACAATAAAGAAATATATCAAAGAAAGTACATTTATTCTTTTATTTTTTTAAATTAACTTGGGAATTCCAAATTCATTAAATCATAAAAAATTAATTCTAATTCTTTCATAAGAAAACGATAACAGTTGGAAATAAGCGTAATTGAAAATTAATTTATTTATGAACAATCAAATGAAAATAGTGATGGTGCAAATACGTAAAATAATTTTAAGATTTTGTGCCACCCACATCTGATTCTTTGTAAAATTGTTAGTCTATGTATAATCCCACTGTAGGGCACAGGCCTCTTCTCACATGGGCTTTAGTTTTCACTCTGGCCCAATGGGGATCGGAAACTTCACGCCCAATACTAAGAGGGAGCAGAGGAAAAATTCCTAATCTTCGATTTGATTTTAGAGTGGTATATCCACTTTATAGTTAAAAATAAAATATTGTAAGTAACTACACGATATATTCAAGAATACACGCTAATCAGAAACATAAAACAATAAAGTTTCCTCGATAGATAAAAATCACGAAATGACCTCTAATTTTCACATTTTTTCGATTCATCCTCGAAATGCTACAGGTTATTAGGACAAAAATTAGATAATTAATTATATTTATGCATGATCGAGAACTGTCACTACGGATTTTTTTAAATCCCTTTAGTTTTAGAGTTATTCCGCTAAAACGAATTTGGTACTTTTAATGCCCAAAATTCAACATCTCCTGTCGCATGTCACGCGAACTTCAGGCATATATTTGTTTCACAAATTTGGGCGGAGCCAACGTTAAAACTTTTTTGGCATGCTCCCTCTTAACCCTCAAGTCTTGAGTCATAAGACTAAAACTGAAGACTAATTCGAGTCGAAGTCTTTTAACCCTAGGAAGCTTAAAAGACTTATAGGACTAAAACGACTGGCGCCTCATAGCCTCGGGAGTTGCGAGTCATGAGCTGTATGGCGTGGTTTTATTTCTACCCACAAAGTATTTATTTTACGTTTTTTATTATAAGTAAATAAACATGATTATTTACTACATACTACTTACGTCATTTTTATTTATAAACTTCGGGTTTAATAAGACATAAAATAGGTATAAGTTCTTAGCAAACAACTCGAGTCGTTTGAGTCTTTCAAGTCGTTTAAGTCTTTTGGATCTTATAGTATAACGACTAAGTCTTATTAATAAAAACTCGAACCCCCAGTCTTAATTTTAGAGTCGAGCCCTGTAAAATGGAGTATATTAAAATCTCTTTCATCACTAATACGAAATTAATGATTTTATTCTATACATAAACTTTATATACATAAATACATACATACGCAATATAATACTATTATCAAAACAAATTATAAGTTCATATTTATGTTACTGATTATTTCCGAGTTTAACAGAAAGTTCACTTTGAATGATGCAACCGACTGTCACGAATGTTAGCAGGTAATTTATTTTACTTAAGATCCAATGTGAATATTGTATAAAATTTGCTATTAACATTTGTATGCCAGTTACTGGCGCAACACGCTGAACTGTTAGATTCGTACAACATGTTCACCAGAAGATAGGTCGTTGTTTTGGGCGCTCTTACGTCTCTCTATAATTTGGGACGTTATTTAGATCCAAAAACATGGTTGCAATTATATAATCCAATGTTGTTACCTCATTACCCATTACTGTGACGTCGTTTTTGGCCCTCGACTGTATATAAAGACTAGTAAGACTATTCATAGAGTGCAAAAATCTTGTATGCGTTGCTTTTTTAGAATACGTAAAAGAGATCATATTTTACCGTATCTTGTCGATAACAAACTTAACATGGCCAATTCTAGAGTACTATAGCTTTTTCATTGAAAAAGGAACCGACCTCAAGATTTTGCTCTCACGCGATACATGCAGCCGCAGACGCATACCGCACCTTGTTGTGCTGGTGATGATTTTATACCGATTTATCGGATATCGAAGTTATAACAGGTAAAAGAATTAATATTATTTGCTATTTCGGTAACTACTCTAGCAAACCATAAAGTTTTCAATGCCTGGGTCTGTCATTTAAAAAAAATAAACAACTTCAAAAATACGTCATGGCAGTCGTGTGTGTTATTGTTTGGGCTGGTGATTTTGGTGTTTATTTATTGAAAACATACCGTAAGTAGCGTTTTTTAAGTTTACCCTGAATATAAATGTTTATAAACTACCCTTTAAGGAGTAATTTCGTGGTAAACGTTAGAACCACTCAAACGGAATATTATCATATTTATCCAAGTACACCAAAAATTTCATTAGTGCTTTTTAAGTGCAGGATTTGCGGTGTATTACTGTATTTTATTTGAGATGTTTTTGTTGGTAATACGGATACGGGTGTTTATTTAGCAATGCAGAATAATAATTTTTATTTATAAAAACTTGTATTTAAACTGAATGCTTTTCTAATTTGCGAAACCAAATAGCCGCCATTTTGCGGTAGGAGGAGCGCATCGCGTGAGCGGTTATCGGCTTTTTTCGATTTCTATGGGATCCTCTCATCAGGTTTTGACTTCTTGGTGACAATGGATCAGTTACGAACTCCTTTGTATATTTTACATTTTCTTTTCTGGTAGTCATGGTGATTTGTTGATTACATGTATTGTGTCAAGTGAAAAGTCGACTTATATTTGCGGAAAATAATTAGTAATTTATATATGTATAATAATCAGGGACCACTTCGAGAGTATACCCTTTCAAACAAAAGGAGAATTTTCGAAATCGGTGCACAATTGATGGAGAAATTGGTGAATACACGGACATGGCTATAAAATTTGAGGGTTTCTGTCGATTTTCATGGGATCCCCTCATCAGATTCTGTCTTGGTGACAATGGGACCACCACGAGAGGGTGCCATCTTCAAACAAAAAAAATAATTTTCCAAATTGGTCCACAATCGACGGGGATATCTGAAAACATACATACAGCCGAACGTATAACCTCCTTTTTTTATGAAGTCGGTTAAAAATTTGCCTACATAAGTTTGGACCTCTTTAAAAATTGGTACCGAAAAGCAGTCTTTCTTTTTTGCACGATCGGGGTCATATTTCGGGGTCGCTTCCATGGTATGGAATGAAGATCACCCCGCCCGCGCGAGACTGTCATATTTTGTCATTACTTACTTTCAATAAGAAATGTTTTAAATTGGTTATTGTCCAGGCAAAACTTGCAGGTAGGCATTGTAGGGTAGTTCTGTGTGGATAGTACTCTGTGTGTAATAGTGATGAAAAAATGTATATAACGACTCATGTGTGTGGTATTCATTAATCGGCTTGAAATCTTAAAGCTAGAATGATAATGTGTTCGTCTAAGTTCTTCTTCTTTTACTGGCCTTTTCATCTCACACTACTATTGTTGTTACTAAACATTGTCTGCCGTCCATTAGGTAAATCACGGTTCGGTGACAAATGGTCAAATACCCGTTATAAATAGCAAAAGATAGCGTACAAAATGTCTCTTTTAAAAACGGTTAAAATTAATTAACGTGTCTGACTTATTCGAACTTACCCTAACGATACATAGCTGTTTTTTTTTAATACTTAATATTATTATGCAATGCCTGAGGGGGCACTACCACTGCGCCCCTCACCCTGAGACATAAGTTAACAAATCCCATGTGTCTATAATTTCACCAGCACCCTTACCCTTCAAAACCGGAACACAGTAATGCTGACATTACTGCTTGGTGGTAGAAATAAATGCGGTGGCAGTACTTCCCTGGACGAACTCTTCCACAAGGAGCTCTACAGTTACTATATAATAACTGCTGGTTTAAACAATATCTCGTAAAATATTTCGTAATCTTAAATATGTAAACTGTATTTAACGCGTATGCTTACGAATAAATATCTCATCATTACTCGGCAAAGCTTCGTGGCCTAAACACGGTACTCGTGTATTTAATTAATTAACTAAAGGTAATTTAAAAACCCTCTCATTATTTATTTTTGATTTTTCTTGGCACAGTTACAAGATACTAATTATATAATACAAGTAAAACTATGACACTAACCAGAAACAAACAAATTTGGAGCTCGAAAACAACCGCATTATGCAACGATTGCATAAAATACTATTAGGACTGTTTTTTTATTTGTCATTGTTTTGTTTGCCTTTCACGCATGTACGTCTTATCCTTTGCTTATGTTCACTCATCCTTAACACCCAATCCTATTTACACTCCGCTACACTTTCTAAGAACACACTAAAGTGTACCTAACATAATAAAAATTTCGTCCAAATCCAAAATTATCTCGACTAAAAACAATATTCAATCAAAGTTAAAATAATCTTCGCTAAGATAATCAAAGAACAAAAATCTAGTTCAATAAAATTTGTGCTATTCATAAATATATTCTTTTTTAAACGTTTAGTACTTTGGTAACACTTCCGAACAACTTTATATTATATTAATATCTCCATTCACATTCTCTTTCCATTTTAACCTATAACAAAATCGCATTTAAAAGTGAAGATAGTAAAGACACTCACCGAGACATGGTCCGTGTTCTGGCGCTCCTGTACTTCAACTGGCGATCCATACCGAGCGGGATCCGCGCAGGAATACCGCGCA